TATAAATTAACACATAATTAATGATAAAAAATACAATAAACACACCCTTATTTTTATTATTAAAACACAAGACCAAAAACCCCTTATATAAATATTTACAAATTTAACTTAAAACTGAATTTAAATAAATTTATTTTTGCCAAAATCATCTCTGAAATGATAGAATTTTTCATTTTTTTCTATACGGAAAGCATGCACCCATAAATTCACCAATTATAAATCCTTTCGATTTTAATACGTGCTTTTCTTTTTCTCTGCCATCACTTCAATTTGTACGTTGAAAAAGCCTAAACGGGGCCCCGAATCGAATCAGTCTTCATGGGAGAAAATGAATTCATTGAGAATAAGGCAAGCTGTAGCGCCCCCAAGTCCAACCCATGCTAGGTAGGCAACCAATTCAAACCCATTTTAGAATAGATTGTACAAAAGTCTCAACTCCAACGATCAAGTATCCAACGAGGTCAAACATGTGTTTGTTCAACTTTGAGCAAAACAGTAATTAAAAACTCCAAAATGTGTCGACATGTCAAGAAACAAGAAGTCACATTGCAATAAATTAAGCAGAACAAATAAAGAAAAAGCATATGACACCCACAAGTTATCATGACCACCTAACAACCACCAGGACAGTATATACATTTGAATTGGCTGGAAGAGACTAACTGGAAGGTAGATACAAAACCTAAAATTTAAAGATGACTCCCTTTTTCTACGGCCCCTTATACAAGGGAAGGAGGAGAGACATCCCAACAACTTGTAAAGTTTCAAACCATGAAAAACGTGAAAACAACAATTTGTTATATGCTATTGTAGCGTAACGATCCATCACCTACTAAAAAACTAAACCCTTAAGAAACAGTCAATGTGCCAAATCTAAACGCAATTAAAAGATCTCATAAAAGCACAGATCCAAAATAAAGATAATACTAAATTAATTATTATTAAGCAAATTAAGTATAGATTCTTGCACAAGATTTCTCTAATATGTTCTCTCAAACTCTAATCTTTTGAAAGCAAGAAAATAGATGGTGAATCAAATGCACCATTTAGTTAGGAGTGAATATCAAATCTAATTCCAATATACTGCTACTACCCGAAGAACATTCTACACATGCACTGTGTTCCTCATCTACTCATCATCATCATCATCTTCCTCCTGCAAAAAAAAAAGTCAATTGAACAAATCAATTAGAGTTGGTTACCATTTTTTTATGATTTCCTAAAATATTTCCTCAATCTCAATATTCAGCAGAGCCAACCTCTCCACTTCCTGCTTCTTCATCATCCTCCTCGTCATTGACTTCAGATTTTGACTTGTCAGACTCATCATCACCACCATGATTTCCCTCAGCCTATCCCATTAAACCAAAATCAATTAAAGTACGAATCAACCAAAACATGATTCAAAAGGATATATCAAAAAACTCAAAATAATTACCAATTTCATGTTGTAAGCCTGCAGGTTCTTAGTGTATTCAGTCTTTCTCTTCTCTGACTTCTCTACATAAGGAGCTTTCTCCTGGAAATTTTACGAGTAAAATATGATCTAAAATTTGCTTCAAACAAACAGATAGTAATGAGATTGTTCCAAACAAACAGGCATATATTAATATTAGTGTTAATTTCCCAAAAAAAGACTCACAGCGGTGGTCATGCTTTTCCATTTTGCTCCACCGGCTTTGCCAACCTGGAGAGTCCATAAAAATCTCGAGTCAGAAACAATGAATAAAATAACAAATCAATCTGAATGACTTCAGCGATATGTAGTACTCACAGCAGAGACAGATTTGTTGTCAGGATGGTCTTCTTTGTACTGTTTCCTGAACTCCTCCCTGTTTTCATCAGGTAAAAAAAGAAAAAAAAAAAGAGAATTGAAATCACCAAAAAAGAGGAAATTCGCCATTAAAACATGAAGCATAATCGG